TGTGACGGTGCCCGGAGCTGTGCTGGCCGGGGAAGAGAGAGGGAGAGGCTGCGGTTCGAACGGGACCGGTCTCGTCGGACGGGGTGGTCGGAGGTGGCGGCTGTGTGGTGGTTTCCGATCGGTGAACAGTGACGGGAAGGAGGAAAAATCGCAAGGAGAAGAAGAAGACGCGGGAGGAAGAGAGAGAAAGTGAGGGGTAAATGTGAAAATCTGATTTTACCCCAAACTTACTTCGAAATAATTACGGTTCTGCCACCGAACAAGTTTTGATCGCCAAAACTTCGTTAAATCTCCGATTCAGGCCTACCGCCTGTCTACGGTTTCGTCTCAGTACCACCTACGCAGCCACACCACTCACGGTCCCAAAATCTTCCCGGATAAGAAAGTGACCAAAATCACCCTTAACCCAGGAGTAATTTAATATTTTCCCTTAATTAAATTAAAATAGGAAAATAACGGAGTCGGGGTGTTACACTTAAATACTAATGATTCACTAAGTAAATAATAACTTAAAACATAACTACTAAATAATGTAATTACGTTTAAAATATTATGTTTATATAGCTTTACAAAAACAAATTTATGTCTAGGGTGCTAATTAGTATAGCCTGGTGGCTATACATGTTTTTCCATTATTTTTTTTTTTTAAAATAGTATAGTCGAGAGGCTTTACCCGGTATTTTCTTAACATCAGTAATTCTAGCCTATGGCTTGTTTGAGAATGATTTTAGATGTATCAAAAATCACTTTTATAGATAATCACTTTAAGTGGTTTAAATGATTTTATAAAGCAAGCACATGTAAGGTACTTCTCACCATAAGAAATTCTGACTCCCAGACGAACCCTAAGAAGTGTTTTCCACAAGTCACTTCCAAGTACTTTTAAATTTTTTTGACCAAAAAAAAACAAAAAAAGAAGTTTTAAATTTTTAATAAAAATTTGGATGTAGTTGTAATAACTAAAGATTAAAAGAAAGGGTGATTTTATTAGCACCCCCAAATTTGCTCTTTGCACTCCACATTCTCTTTACACCCTACTGAATTTTAGTAAAATTTAAAATTACTCACTATATCCCATTTGTTTTCCTAGATTACCCTCATAAACCTCAGTTCTTAACTTACCTTGTTTCAGTGGGAGTCCATCGAATTTGTTTCTGTTTTACAGTAGCTATCCACCGAATGTGTTTCTATTATACCATGAAATTCAAGATTCTTTTATCCCCAAAATGTTGGTGGATCCGTATTTTTTGTTGTTGTATTTATGGGTTTAACCCGTATTATTTCTTATAAATAAAATCCATTTTTTATTCTTGCCTAATGAGCTAGTAGCTGGAAATCATTAGAATGAGAGGTATTAGAAAGGAGTTAAATTCTCATTCTCCAACATCACTAGTATAAATAAAATAAGGGAGTTTCACTAAAACACCCAAAATGGGAGCTGAAATTATAAAAAAACCCAACACCCAAAACACTTTATAAACACACCCAAAGCCCATCATTACACACACTCAAAACTCATTTATAAACACACCCAAAAAATATACAATTATTGATTTTGGGTGTGTTTCTATGTTTAAATAGTGCTTGGGTTTTTTTATAAATACATGTCTAGAATTGGGTTTATTTATAAATTTGTAATAAAATAATTGAAGAAATACCTCTATCCTAATTTGCAAAAGTGGTATTTTAGCCCAAAACCCTAAAATAACATGACAAAATTGTATATTTTCGGCTATATTATTTAAATATATTACTTTAATGGTACAGCCATGCGGCTCCACTCTCTGAATACATCCGAATATTTTAAAGGTGTAGCCAATTGGCTATACTCTTTAAATTCATTCGAGACGAACTCGACGCTTGCACTCGCAGTCACACAGCCATTTCGCTTACAAACTTCACAGAGCCTCTCTCTCTCTCTCTCTCTCTCTCTCTCTTAACTCAAGCTTCGATTTTTTTTTCTTTCGTTTCGGCTGCTGCGTTGATTGGATTGGATTGGACTCTCTCTATGAAAACCATCAAATGTCATTCAGCTATTGAAATCTCCACTAAGATAACAAGTCTGATGTTATAAGGGAGCTAGGCGGCCTGGGCGGATCTAGGCAGCGCCTAGGGGGCACTAGGCGGCCTGGGGTGATCTAGGCGGCGCCTAGGCGGGCTGGGCGGTTCTAGGCGGCCTGGGCGGGTCTAGGCGGCCTGGGCGGCCATCAAATGTCATTCAGCTCTTGAAATTTCCACTAAGATAATAACTCTGGTGCTATAAGGGAGCTAGGCGGCGCCTAGGCGGCCTGGGGTGATCTAGGCGGGCTGGGCGGTTCTAGGCGGCCTGGGCGGGTCTAGGCGGCCTGGGCAGGTATTCTTGCATGCATCCTCTGCAAATGGTCGTGCGGGTATTCTTCTTAGTAGTTACAATCCCTGCCTGGCCAGAACACTGCCGCTCCTAGGCGTCCTGGGCGGATCTAGGCGACTCCTAGGCGGCCTGGGTGGGTCTAGGCGGCGCCTAGGCGGCCTGGGCAGGTATTCTTGCATGCATCCTCTGCAAATGGTCGTGCAGGTAGTACTTTCGTAGAATAAAAGACGAGTGCTTGTGCGAATGGGGCATTCTGCCTTGTTTATATTATTACATTCTACATCCAGCATATGGGTTGATTAGCTAGAGATATATATATTTTTGTCTGTAAGGACAATGTGCAGCACTTGCACTTAACTGGTACGCTAATTGTTTCTGAAAAAGGCGCAGCTTTGATTTATCTAATTATTTATTTTTAACAATTACTCTTTGACTCGGATGATTTGTTCCTTAAGAAAGTAGAGTTTTCAGGGTTTATGGTTTGATGGGGTTCTTTTCAGGGTTTATGGTTTGATGGGGATTCTTCCCAAGGCAACTATTGTATCTCCCCAAGGCAACTTTGCAGACCATGATTGGAAATTTTCCTGCTTCAAAATTGTATCAGGTACGGACTTCTAAGATAGTTGACGCATGCCTGACTAACCCACTGGTATAGTTGACGCATGGCTGACTAACCCACTGGTCAAGATTTAACATGACTGGACAACTTTTTGATTGGGCGGGGTAGGTTATTGAAATACAAATCAGTTATTGGCTTTCAGGCATGTTAACTGATTTCAGTAGCTTTGCATCTAGAATATTTTGTTCTTCTAGGATCTGCACCCTTTTCCATGCATCGAAGTGAAATTAAAACTTCAGCGGAAAGTCTCGCTCTTTAGACATCACACTGGTGAACACCAATTTCCGGCAAGAAAGTGGAACACCTCAACATGGGAATTATATGCTCTCATAAGAGAGTATCTTTCTCTCATCACTTGGTTATTCACATGGAGTTACCACCAGCTATGGACAAGAAAATGGAAGGCGGCTGAAGATAAAGCAAGGGCTATACTGTTTGGATATTATGGTACATAATTGAGATTCATTTGGATTTATAGGTTTTGCTTTCTGCTATATCCAATGGGGGGAAAGACAAACACTATACTGAATATTTTGCAGACAAACACTATACTGAATATTTTGCAGGTCTTAAGTTTGCTGTGTATACATTTCCTCCTATTGCTTTGGCTATTATAGGATCATTCTACTTGAATTTGAAGCCAAGGGAGTCAATAAGAAGGTAGTGCATGTTATTATGTCATTGGGTTATGATCACTCAAGATGCCAGTTTAACTTCTGCTTGTGTGCTTTAATTTTGATAGCGGAAAAGGTTGGAAATTGACTGCTGGCTTCTCAAATCCATTGGTAGTGAACTCCCTTCTTGGTGTTTTGTCCACTCTAGAAATACTAGCAGTCTTCCTCTTTATCCTGTTCTTAGCTTGGAATTTTTATGCACGCATCTCAAATGATTTCAAGAACTTGAAGCCTGCTAAATCACTAATGCTTAATTCGTGAGTTCTAAATCCGAAAGTTTTCTATTTCGAACTTTTGGAACAAGAACTTCATCATGATTGACGCTTAAACTGTATCTCAGATGGCAACTCAAGTACCTAAAGGTGGAAACTCGGTTTGGTTTTCTTGCAGAAGTCTGCCTGGCTTTTCTTCTTTTCCCTATATTAAGAGGTCTGGCCTTGTTTCTGTTGCTTGGCATCCAGTTTGAAGCTTTTGTAAGATACCATATATGGCTTGGGACTGCAATGATATTTTTTGCCACTTTCCATGGTACAAGCACTTTGTTCATTTGGGGGTTCAGCCACTTTATCCAGGAGAAGGTAAATCCTAGTCCTTTTTCATTTGGATCATTTCAATCATCTGGTTTTCTGTTCGGTGTTAACTCTGCCGTATTATTTTGGTATTGGCATTATTTAGTTTTGCTGATCTTTTTGGTGCAATTCATTCAATCGCAGATATGGGAATGGCAGAAAAGCGGGCGGATGTACCTTGCTGGGGAGATCTGTCTGGTCACAGGGTTAGTGATTTGGATCACATCACTTCCTCAAATAAGGAGAAAACAGTTTGAAATATTTTACTACACACACCATCTCTACATGGTTTTTCTGGTATTCTTCTTGTTTCATGCTGGAGACCGTCACTTCTACATGGTTTTCCTTTTCCCTGGAATTTTTCTGTTTGGCCTTGACAAGCTCCTTCTGATCATACAATCTAGACGCGAAACATGCATTCTTTCAGCACGAATCTTCCCCTCCAAAGCTATAGAGCTTATTCTACCAAAAGATCCAGGTAATTTTTCTAGACCTTGTTTACTAACCCGAAGTTTTCTAAAATTGGAGAAATCATATGAAACATCACATTCCACTAATTGCAGGGCCCAAGTATACACCAACAAGCATTATATTTGTGAAGGTACCAAGTATATCCAAATATGAGTGCCACTCATTTAGCATTACTTCCAGCTCTAGGGTTGATGACAACACAATATCTATAATGATCAAATCCGAAGGATCGTGGACAAGTTCTCTCTCCCATATGATCCAAACTAGGCAAGAGTCGGATGGCGATCAGACGAAGTACATACCTATTGCAGTAGAAGGCCCTTATGGACCTGTCTCTATGGACTTCCTAAGGTGCATAAAAAAATTAACTTTTCATTATAGAATATATATTGTTAAACCGCTAGTGATGATCAATTAGCATCTCAAAATCTGGTGAACATGAATTTGAAATCTTGTGCAGATATGATAGTCTACTTCTTGTTTCTGGAGGAATTGGAATAACCCCAGTTCTGAGCATCATACAGGAACTTGCTTCGTCCCAAAACAGCGGCATAAACAAATTCCTACCAAGAATGCAGCTTATATATGTTGTGAAGAAGTCCCAAGACATTTGTCTGTTGAACTCAATCTCACCTCTAATATTTGGCCAGCCAGCAGAAAAATGCCTTCTGAAAGTTAAAGTCTTTGTGACCCAAGAAGAGCAGTCTGATGCAACAGTAAGAGAACTAGTAAACGAGTTTTCTCAAGTGCAAACAGTGAACTTTGGCACAAAGTTCTTGAATTTTTCAATCAGTGAACTCGAAAACTCACTTTGGATGGCTGCCATAGCTGGAATTTCCGCTATCCTGTTTCTCATCTTTCTCATTATGTTCAACCACATTTTTGTTCCCTCCCAGAAAAATCCCACCAAGGAGAAGACTCCATCTTGGGTTGCAGATCTTCTTATCATATCTTCCTTCATTCTGGCATTAATTTGCAGCATCTTTGTAGCACTTGTTATAAGATGGAGAAGGCTAAAGAAACAGATTCGTCCTACCCCCCAAAAACAAAGCAAAGCTTAGAAAAAGGGTCAACACAAGCAAGTGATGCTCTTGAGGAACATGAAATCCATTTTGGAGGCAGGCCTAACTTTGAAGGTACTTGGATTCTTTTTTTATCCATGAAATCTTTTCCAAGTTCCAAACCCTTAAAAATTCCTTGTTCTGGCATACAAGACTAGGATATGTTTCTAACATTTGTTGAATTCAGCGGATATCTTTGCAAAGTTTCCAGATGAGACAGGTGGATCTGATATTGGAGTGTTGGTCTATGGACCTGAGACTACGAAGGAATCAGTGGGGCATCAATTTGCCAGAAAAATGTGGAGCTAAGAAGCAGAAACCCAATTTCAGCTTCCACTCCCTCAATTTCACACTCTAGTCTCACACCAGAAACCATAATAAAAAGTGAAGATAATAACAGTTAGATTTACATCCAAAATAGTATAGTGATCAATCAACTCCAGATATTTGGTATTTTAATCAACAGGTTTGTGTCTATCTAGATTGATCAGTTCTTGTAATTGCTTCTTAGGCTTCCAAGATAATGAATTTGAGCAATGTACATATATATATATATATATATATTTGTGGTATAAATATGAACTTTAATGATTGGAACTTTGTTTTTTCTCAGTTGCTCTTCCACTGCAGATAGTTTACTTTTTATGGTGTGGAATAATGGGGTGCACTCGCCCAATTTGGGAAAATGTGGAATAATGTCTTTCTAGATTAAAATTCAAGTTTTTCAAAAAGCAATCAAATAATTATATCATAATCATGTTGGTTAATGGTTACAGGAAGATCCATGAGGAGTTAAATCTTTCATTTATATAAAAAAAAAAAGAACAGATAAAGGAGGAGCCAAGTCTAATTCAATTTATTTTACGTTTTTGTTTTTTTTTTTTGGGCTAAAAAGAGGATAATTCTTGTGTTCCTTTACTGCCTCAGTCTGACTGCGGTCAATTGGTACAGCGTCCGCCTTCTGGCCCTTGCCAACCATCAAATCAATGCTGGCATCCTGGTCAGTGGTTTCCCACAACTCAAGCGTCTCACCATCAGCCTCTATGGTGTCTCTTCTGCTTATCCCATAGGATGAACACTCTGATATCTGATCAAGAATGATGTCTTTCGTCAGAATTTCATTTCCTGAGCCAGATATTTCACGCTTCTTCATATAAAATATGCAGGACCAATCAAAAACTGCCAACCCATTATGGATAAGGAAATAAATGGAGTAAAGCTTTAAGTTCCAGAGAGAAAGAAGAAGAAGAGAGTATAGCTTTAATAAATGGATCATCACCTCAGTCCAATTTCCCATTGCAAATGGAATGTATAAACAGACATGGAGATTACCTCTGATTCTTCTGTGTCTAATTTATGAGATGCGGCGTCTGTAAGTACATGCTTCTCGAGTGCTGTTGTACACTCCTTCAAAGGGATGACAAACGACAATCGGGAGGGGGTAAAAAAAAGTGCCAGTACAGCCGTTCGGCTATACTATAAAACAGTTCAAAAATGGCTATACGACCCTTCTATTCCCTCCCTGCCTGGCTCGCTTCACTAAATCACTTCCCATCAAAGTCTTTAAGTTCAAGGCCAAAAAAGAGGTGGGCAATAGCTCGTTTGAGCTCTCATGGCGCCTTCCAAGAAATGAAAAAAAAAAAAGCAAGTAAGATAGGAAACTAAAGAAAAACTTAAGCTTGGTTCCAGTCGAGCCTAAAGCCGCAGACTCTGGCTGGTGGGATAGTTCTTCAACCCGAGGTTTTTCTTTTCACTAAGCTCAGTCTCCAATTACTCTGCTTCCAGCTTTTTAGTGGAATGCATTGAGATTACTTGCAGTTTTAACTAAATTATCTTTATATTTTCCTTATTTTGGAAAATCTATGACCCACAGAAATCTAGAACAGGTGGTGGATTTTGTTTTGTAATGTTAAATTCGGTAATGATGTTCATAATTAGAGCTCAAAACCTATAAACTGTGCTTTTGTTCAGTTAGGTTGTTGGAAAAATCGGCCTAGGCCCTAGACGGGCCCTTTGTTTTTTTTTTTCCTGACTTTGGCTAAATTATGAACTCACTTCAATTTCTGATTGCCGCTATACGAAAATTGGCTTTTGATTATGTGTTTTGCATCCTGAAAAGAGAAAGTTGTGGTCGAAAAGTTATTACTAGAGGGAGCAATAGAGATTTTACCCTGTAAAAGTAGCACGTAATTGTTAGGAATCTGGTTCTGCCTAAGTTGGGTGAGTAGTTGGAAATCCTGACTGAATCAGACTTAGGGAATATACATACACTGAAACATATAGTCGGGCTTTGCCTGTTGTCATAGACTATAAAACCGCAATTGGAAGGTTGACAAGTTTCACTTTGTTGTCTACATAAGTGCCTTTATCGGCGTCGTTTTTGGCAACGTTGAAATTGGAATAGTCTTAGCGGTACGTATCATTATTGTGTGTGATGGTAACTCCAGATCTAACAACTTAAAACTACGCATTATAACTAATATTTCTTTTTTCTTCTGTGTAGGTTGCAATATCTGTGATCAGGGTACTCTTGTTTGTGGCAAGGCCAAATTTCAGGGTTTACTGAAATGTTGAGCAGTGTCCCAATGCAAACAATGTTCCTGGAATTCTCATACTTGAGATTGATGCTCCCATTTACTTTGCAAATACCAACTACTTAAGAGAAAGGTACTAATTAATTAAACATGAGTAAGAACTAAAGATTTGGGGCTTAAGATAGATAATAGGGACTAAGGTTTTGTTGAGTTGTTCTTGAGGTGGTTGTACTATCTTTCTTTTTTCTAGTCATGTTTATGTTCTAGTGATTCAGAACTAAAGATTTGGGGATTAATATAGATAAGTGGCTTATCTATGGGATTGGGAAAGAGACATCCCACTTTGTTTGTGAAGGTTTGAATCAGACATTTGATTTTTATGATGATTGCACAAATTTTCATCTACAAATTGATTGAATAACTAGTGTAGTGCTTCAAGTTAACAGTCGCTTCTAACCAAGGTGCTTTCTAATAGTGCCACTTATTAAACATAGAGACCTCCGTGTGTCATCCTTTTGATTCAAATAATTTCCAAGTGTTAAGTTGGTTAACTGGCCTAGCATTTAAGCCATAAATTACTGAAAGTCTCATGATGAAAGAATTGATTGCTTCTAGAAAATGGTTGAAGAGGAGATAGAAAAAGTTAAAAGGAATTGCAAAGGACTCCACTGTTCCTTTTAGAGAAAGACTAAAGATCTTGGCTGGGGTGGTAACTCCTCAGGATATCAGTCAGAGTTCTGCTGAGAAGAAGCTTGTACATGTATATAATGACAAACCAGTTCTTTCATGCCCCCAGCACATTTTTTACAAGGTAAACATTGAACATTTATGTTGCTGAGTGTTAAGAAGATGACACATAAAAACCATGTTTGACTTTATCAAGCTCTCTCACATGCCGGGTCCTAACTACTTTGAGATTGATATGGACATTCATCGCTTCGACTACATATCAAGGAAGGGTCTCGAATTGTTTTATGAACGTTTTAGAAAACGGAATAGCCGAGAGGCGATACTCTCTTCAAAAAATATTTTATTTATGCAGTATAGCCAGGCGGCTATACTCTCTTTTAAAATATTCTGTTTATGTCTTATAGCCGAACGGCTATACTTTTAAATGTTCTGTTTATAGAGTATAGCCGAGCGGCTGAACTTTTAAAATATTCTACTTTACGAGTATATCCGATCGGCTATACTCTTTAAATATAACAACAAAAATCTGGATTTCTCTATAGCAAATATGAGCCTTGAGATAATGAATCAATTAGATATGGTATGTTTTTACGTTCTAGCTTTGTTCCTCTGTGTGTGCTTAGGGTTGAGATAAATTTATGCCTTGTTTATGTGTTGCACAAGTATGAGAAGTGATATAATGGCGTTGCTTATCTTTCAAGTGCCCCGTGTCATATTTCCTAAATATATTCGAATACTTAAGAAGTATAGCGGCACGTCTATATTCGAATAATAATATAATTACTAATTGAAGTAATTAAAAAAGGCTAAGATATTACTTTATATATATCAGTCCCCTTCTATTGAGGAATACCTCAAATAATTTTATTTGAGGGACGCCCTTTAGGGTTTTTTTTCCAATAATCCAAACCATCTATTTTTTAAATTTTCATTCATAGATCATCCTTATAAAAAATTAGACAAATCGGAAACCGTTTCGACATCCAATTGTGTCCTACAAAATCAATGAACACGGTGCTTTAAGAAAGTACTAAAATTTCAATTACTCAATTGAATGGTGAAATGATATCGGATTCAAGTGATTTTTTGTAGAGATGATCTTTGAATGTGGATCTACAAAATAGACGGTTTGGATTAGTGAAATACAATCCGGAGTGGGCCCTACAAGGATTGTCCCTCAAATAAGCTTATTTGAGGGATTCCTCAATGGAAGCTATATATATATATATATATAACAAAAGGCAGATAATTGTGAAACATTCAAAATACTAGAAAATGCCATTGGTTAATTCAAACATAAAGAATTGAAATTATTAATTAAATGAGGGTGATATGGTAAATTCACTTTTTTTATATTAAAAAAATTAAAATTAAAAACAAAATAAAATAATAGATCCAGCTTTTATGGAACATAACCGCCCATATTATCTTTTTTTTTATTCTAAAAATAAAATAAAAAAGAGAAAAGAAAACCAATTAGTGCATGCTGGCTAGTATATATATTAATTTAAAGAAGTGGGGCAAAAAATAAAAGTAAAGAAACTAATTTTATATTTTAAAAATAAATACATAAAGAGTACCAGTCGCGACAGCATTTCGTCGGCACAGGTTTATGCCGGCAACTATTTGCCGAATTAAACCTCTCCTGAGGAAAGTTTCCTATACCGACGAAATGTCGTCGGGAGAGGTCTAATCCGGCAGAATTGGGCCGAGATAGACCTATGTCGACGAAAGTTCATCGAGAGAGATTTTTTAAAATAATAAGTATAAGCTTAGTATCTTTAGGTCAGTAAATTTATATTTTCAATTTTCAATTTATTAATTCAATAAATTCTTAGCCTTATTTAATTACTTTCATTAGTAATTATGTTTTAATCATCATTTATTTTGTGAATAATTAATATTAAATGTTTTAATTAAATTCATAAATATATTACTTAATAAATAGTAATTGGCTTTTTAATTTTTTTTCTTTAATAAAATACTTAAATACTAAAGATTCACTAAGTAAATAATAACTTAAAACATAACTACTAAATAATGTAATTAAAAAAGAGAAATTCAGATTATGATATTTCAAGGGTATAGTCGTGTGGCTATAAGTTTAAAATATTATGTTTATAGAGCTTTACCAAAACAAATTTATGTCCAGGGTGCTAAATTGAATCAATAAATGTGTGATCATGAAAATACTCTAGTAATTCGCTGACTCACTTGAGAAGTTATTTTATTGCTTGTGTACATATCCACATGACATGTTGATGTGATTTATCAAAATTTTCTCAAATTATTACAATTCGTGCACAATAGTTATAAAATACAAATTTTACACAAAAAGAAGGAAGAATAAGAGAAAATATCGTAGCCAAAGGTGGTTCATATGGTATTGGACTCTCTCTATGAAAACCATCAAATGTCATTCAGCTATTGAAATCTCCACTAAGATAACAAGTCTGATGTTATAAGGGAGCTAGGCGGCCTGGGCGGATCTAGGCAGCGCCTAGGCGGCTCTAGGCGGCCTGGGGTGATCTAGGCGGCGCCTAGGC